TACCTGACTTCTGTGTATGTATTTGAACATTGATATCCAGAAAGGTTTACAGATAATTCTTTATCACTAACATCTGTAATAATTTATATGACCTTTTTAATTTGTGTATTAGTTTTTACTAATCCTATTACAACAAATTCAGTTTCCAATTCATAATATAATATTTATACTTCCTTAAATTTCAGTAATGGACTAATATATGTCTCTTAGAATACATCATCATTGGAACGTACACCTCATCATAATTCTTAATTCCAAATATTTTTCCACATTTTATGAAGTGCTTGAACCAAATATTCTATAAACAAATAATGTATATTGACATAACAGTATATAATAGCACAATAACATGTAAACATACTACACTTATATACAATGGATAGTTGTCTTTTGTAGTGGGAACCTTTAGAATTCCTCAATGCAAAAGTTACTAGTGGGTGATGTTTGCAACCAACAGAACAGTCTATTAACTTTCCATGTGCAACAATGATGATTAGATCTCACATTGAATGAACCTTACACATGCAGTATATTTGTTTTTTCTGTACTGATGGACATCCTAAATCTTCCACGTTGTGGCATGGGGTAACCATCAAGTTGCCTAAAAACCTCACAAAATGTATACTCTTGGTATACATATTAGTATGTGTCTGATTTAGTTATTTACCTATCCTTTTCCTCAATGTCAATTACCCACATGTCAAGATGTGTAGAGAAGCTTCCTACAAGGATAACTTCCAACTATTCTTTTGCTGGAACTTTTGTCCACCTGTTGTTTGCATCATTACCAAATCAAGATGAACAATTATAGATGTAGAACCATTGTTGATCAACATATTGCAAGGTTTCCTATCAATAAATCCACTGATTGTGGACTGGTGTTTTTAAATAATGAACTTATCTCATATGGGGCAGATGGAGCATTCTCAGTTGAAGTTTGCTCCATAAATTTAGCTTATTTTTGTTTCCTGATGTCTAGTTACCTTTTTGTTGCTTCTTGGAACTGGATGGGCTCAAAGACTTATCATTAGGGTATTGACTCTTTGGTGTATTAACATCTGTTGATTCTTCATTTTCTTGGCTGTAATAACCATGATTTCCACATTTATAACAGTTCACTTTTACTGGCATCTTTTGGGTGAAGTGGTTATTCCGTACAGGCTTATCTGCAGTTCCTGGTAATATGTCCTTTCAACTTATACATGAAACATCTGTTATCTTGTGTTTTATTTTCTTCATTTTTTGAGTAGTTTTCTAACTAACACTTTCAGTTCTTCTGTACTATTATCAGGAAGACTTGATGTTTTAATACTACTTGATCTTATGATCTGGTAACCTTTAGATGATGTGTCTAGTTGTTAATCTGTGAGTAAGGTATTCAAATTCCATCACTAATTTGGAAGGTTTTTTCAGAGATGTGCACTGACTTTGCTTCTTTCTAATTCACAAATCCTCATTTGTTATGACATCTGTAAATTGGTCACTTTCCAATGAATCCATTATCTCACAAGGAGCATCCAGGTAAGAAAATTGGGCATCTTTTTTCATATCTTCTGAAAGTTTGGCTAAGATCTCTTCCTTCATCCATACCCTGCTCTGAATCTCTGTTTAAGTTACTTCTTTTTATAGTGTATCACTCCAGACCTGTTGGATAAGTTGTTACAGTTCACTGCTGGAAGGTTGCTTAATATTGTTAAAGCTGGTCAGTAAGACAAATAGAATTTTGTTGACTTTTCTACCTGTTCAATCTGGAAATTATATTGAACTAAGCCTAACACCTGCTTTCCCTGGTACTTTTCTGCCATTGTTTGTTTTTCAGTTGGGTGATGATAAACCGGTGAGCTAAATTCTAGAAGTATCCTGGTTAAAGTAGTCTAGGAAGGTATTGCAATCATAATTGGCACAGCAGTTGTACTAACAGGCAGTGACAGATTAAGGCTTGGGCAGTTTGGGTGATCACCATAGGCACATGGTCTAAGGGGGGGCCCATATAGAAACAAAAATTGTTAATTTGGATGAAATTTATAAATATCTTGTTATGTTAACTCTCAATACGAGCTGAGTCCCAGGGACCAACCAAGTGACTATTTTGTGCTAATATATAGTTTTAACACTATAACTTTAATGCAGTGTATTTATCTCCACAAAATATGGCAGATGTTTACTAAACATTACAAGTCATCTGTACACAAAAAATGAGTTTTTTAAATGAAATATCTTTACTAAAGATTTGTCCATGAAATATATATTCCTTTTTTTACTAGTCTGAGTGCAAAGTAATACTTATATTAAGATTAGAAATACTTTTCTTCATCTCAAAGTCTCAGATTTCAGTTGTATAATTTTTAAAACCTCCTAACTAAATTTCAACCACTATTGAGACCATTATAAGTCATAAATCACTGACAAGTATGCAGCCCATGTTATGTTTTCGAATTACACTTACAAGTGTACCTCATAAAAATTTCTATTATATTATTATTTTTATTCATTTTACCTAATCTATCCTTAACAAACTTAAAAGGTTGATCAGAGAACAAGGTTTGAAAAATTCAAAGACCGGGGTGCTGAAGTATGTGAGTATAGTTCAGTTCAGAAGAATATCTGGGTGTGCAACTGTTGCCATGGTGATGGAGATGCAGAAAATACCATACTATCATCCAAGGATAAATTCATAACTGGAGTATTTTTCATTTTGGTTGACCAGCTTATCACTGCATTGAAATACCATCTTGATGCATATAAGGATGTTGCACCAAATTTGGATTATTTTCCAAATTATCATCCCCTTCGTATCAAGAAATCAGCAAAGCCACAAAATGTCTTGTCCGTTCTTTTCCAAATGATGTTGAAACTAAGATAGTAAATGAATTGATCCAGTTTTCCACATTGGCAACTTCAGAACTTCGACATTCATTCACACAATCTGAACCAACAGAATCAGTTGAGTTCAGAATGTTCCTCTTTCTCCATAGGCATACTCTTATCCAAGCATTTCCTAATTCTGAAATAGTGCCGAGAATATACTTATCCATGATGGTATCAAACTGCAGCGATCATTTTTGAACTTGAAATAAATAAAAAGTGAGCTCGGGAACAGAATAGGACAAAGCTGACCAAACAGTCTGTCTGTTATGAACATAGAATGTGACATGTTTTGAAAGCTGTACTTTTTGAAACTCATTGATGAGTTCAGTTATAATAAAGCCATAAGAAGACAATTCTAGCTTTATATAGGTACATGCAGGTTCTAATCAAGTTGTCTTTATGATCATTCATGAGTGAATAAAATGTGTTTGAACATGTTTTTGGTTTATCTGTATTGTTTCCAGTATTACAATGCTATGTATACCATTAAAATGTTCTCACATGTATATGCTTAACAATATAATTTTGACATTGAAGTTGACTCAGTTCGCTAGGGATCAATATATCTATGATGGGAAGGCAGGGCCTTTTCTTCTCTTGCCACTCAAGGCCCAAGCCACTCTTAATCCGCTGCTGGCAACAGGTGTAGACCAAATAGGTTTTCATATTCTATATTTAATAGTAAATTTTGTATTCCCTCGTTGATTTCTTTCTGTTCTTCAAACTTCTTGTTGTAATCCCTTTATATATCCCCAACAGTTTTGTAGATGTTGTCTGTATACAGATTTATATTTGTTCTAAATTTTTCATTAAACACTTTTACATCTCTCTCTTTTAATACCTCTCTTAAATACATGTCTCAAATCTATTTTTTTTTAGATTCCCAGAATTTTACTTTGTCTCTCTTTCTTATCATTCCTTTTCTGTGTCCTTCTTGACATTTTACTTTTTTATCATCTTTAGCAAAGTTTTGATCTCAGTTTGTGATCAGGTTGTCGTTTTGAGATTTAGTCAAAGTTCTATTTTATTTTCACCAAAATAAACCCACTTCTGGCACGAGTGTTCTAATGTATTCCGTCATTGGATGGATTCTTTAGGAGTATGCCTCCCACTTACTAAAAATCAGGTTTTGATACTTGTGGTGGATAGAGCACAGATATCCTATTGTGTAGCTTTATGCTTAGCAACACTAACCAGTCAACCAACTTTTGGATTATTTAATAGAATTAATGATAATGAATTAATTTATTTCTTTTATAACATTTGCTACAGACTACAGTTACTGACACAAATTATAGGCCTAAGTTCATAAACAATGTGCCCCCAGTGGCACAGCAGTATGTCTGTGGACTTACAATTCTAGAAACCGAGTTTCGATACCCGTGGTGGGCAGAGCACAGATAGACCATTGTGTTTCAATATGGGCTGCAACACTACTTTTACATATGTCTAACTTGCAAAAAAACTTAGTTGCAGAATTTTCATGATAATAAATTTAATAATTCTCAGTACTAAATTCTTCACAGAGTCTCATATTTAAATTGTACACTCGTTTCCATGTGCTGCATAAAATTTCCAGATTTTTCTTGGTATTGTGTCACGTGACCTGTAATAAACAAAAATCAAATTCACAACATTAAAAATATAGTATAAAACAGTACAAAAGATTACTAATTTCATCTTGTTTTATAACCTGAATATAATTTCATTATAAGGTGAATAAATTGTTATAGAAGGTCTAGATAGTGTGCTCTCTTAAGAAATAAACATGAATAAATACTTTCAAGCAGTGTATAGGATTAACTTTTACAATTATCATGTGGTTCTTTGTTTGATAAGTCATGAAAATTAAGTGTATTGTTAGAAAAGCTATTTTTTATCAAACATGTAATTTATGATCAGTTGACCAAATGGAAAGGAAATACTGGATGAAAAAATACTACATAGTATCACACATATTTTGATTGAAAATTTTTTAAGTGAATTTGCTTGATTTTATGTACTTTTCATTTTTTTTGATAATACAGTAAAAAAAAATTATAAGTTTCTTAATCTGTATATCACTTATTTTTATTTGCTTGTCAAACAACAATAAGTATGCTAGTAAAATAGTCTGCTTGTTCATTTTATAGATGTTTTCTCATATGATGAAGATGACATGGTTGAAGATCCCAACCTAGCTAAGCATCTAGCTCATTTTGGAATTAACGTAACTCAAATGGAAAAGGTATTAGGAACTATATTTTATTGTGTGTTTCAATTTAGATATATTATTTTAAGTTAATGAGAAGCAGGTGGTTGCTTGCACCAACTGCTTATGTTTCAAACACTGAGCAACTTAATGCCATTCCTGATTTTGAAATTTTGGCAAAATTTGAAAATAGTTTATTTTCATTAAATAAGAAATTAGAATTAACCTTTTCTTGACCAGGCACTTCAAGTGCACACAAGCAACTCAACTATCAAAATTTAACTAAAACAATATAGTTTTTCTTTCTTTTATTTCAACAATTTTTTACTGAAAAATATTATTAATATTTTAGCATTATGTAATGCTCTAAAAATATATTGATAAGAAGGTTCCAGAGTTTCTGTTTAAAAACTATTTACTAAAAACTGGAATAATAGAAAAAACATAAATAATTGTTAAAACATAATTTTTCAAGTGTTCACATGGCATCGTCTGCATTTATAGAATGAAATCACTTGTGAATGCATCTATATCTGAAATACAAACACTTCAAAAATTTACATGTTTTGGTCAATTTGCAATTTATAAAGAAATAAAAACTACTCCGTGACATGGTATATATCTTGTATATCTTTAAAACTAACCCAAGTATTATAGTATACACTATACTTTATTCACAAATTTTACCTATGTACTCATTTTAGAAAATACTAGAAGCTGTTTAAAAATTATCTTTTGCTGATCTAAGCACCTACTGGGGCAAAGTTCATGATAGCACTCTATAGATTCAAAACACCAATGGTAATTTTGTAAAGTAAAAAGCAAACTAATTACTTCAACAAAATAAATAAGCCACGATAGAGCTAGGTTATTTAAAGGAACATGATCAAAAGAGATTTCTGTTGTTGGATTTAAAATCTCGGTTAATTAAAACTTATGCAATGAAGAATTGGAATTTTATGGCACATGGACTGTAAGAAAGAAAATAATCCCATCTTTCAGACAATATATTTATGACTGTTAGCTTTAGAAGTTTTAAAATTGTGAAACAAAAACTTAAGTTAGTTGAATTTTATAGCTCTTGACACCACCAACTTCAAAAATTACTGATTTCAAACTGTTTGAGCTAGAAAACAAGCAAGACATGTACAGAGACCACATGTATTGAGCTGTTTTATCTGCATAGGGGAAAAGTTTAAATATTTCTACTCCAAAATAAAATTACCTTCGTTGGAAGTGGGCGGGGGTATTGGAATTAGTGTTAGTAGTTTAGATTAACATTAGACTTAAAATTTAATTTTAGCAACAAGTTTGTTTTTTTTTGTTTTTAACCGACAAGGCATTTGTTTTCAATAAAATTTAATAGTTATCATTTGAAAGTTGTTTAGTAATAGATATCTTAAAGTAAAAATTGTATTTATATTGACTTTAAATTGGATTACAATTACACATAGTTACTCATTTACTATTATTATTAGGCTTAATGTTAAATTTTTCAAGTAAGATTTTTGGTTAAAGATGGGAGTATGCTTATAATATTTATAACATATATTATTATTTATATATATAGAGATTAGTGTTGAATATTTAATATAGTAAGCTTGTGAAGTTAGATCGAACTTGTTACACATTAGTACTAACAGTAATACTAGTAATAGTATGTTAAATATAATCTTAACTTCATTACAATTAAAATCACAATCAATATAATTATCAGCTATGGTTAAAAATAGTCTGGCTACTAAGGGTTCTCAGATGATAAAGTGTGATACATGCCAGGACAGTGTTTTATTTATAAACTCTGGGTTAAAGTGTACATTTAGGGAGGCTAGTAGCCAGGATATACAATTTATTTGCAGAGAAGTTGGAGGGTTTTTTGGTTTGAGTTGCAGCAGTGGAAAGGGAGAAATGTAAATTGCTTGAAGTGGTGGCAGGGCTTGATGAAGAGCTTCTGAATGCAAAGGGTACAGTTGATAAACAGAATTTCAAGGGAGCGAAGAAAGGAAATAGGGCTAACATCTTGGAAAATATTCCATTTAGGGGCAAGGATGGGCTTGGGTTTAGGTTAAGCAACTGGTTCCAAGCACTTGCTAGTGATGAGGGGGAGCAGGTAAGGGAAACAGATGGAATCACAGGGGATGATAGTGTAAAGGATAGGAAAGTTATAGTTGTAGGTGGCTCTCTGATTAGGTATGTAGATAGAGTAGTATGTGGAGGAAATAGGAGCAAAAGAATATGCTTATGCTATCCAGGAGCAGGGGTACAGAATAGAACCAGAGAGATAGTTAAGAGTGCTATTAGCAATGCAGTTTTTGTGGTACATGTTTGGGCTAATGATGTAAAGAATTATAATGGCATTTAAGGAAATGGGACATAGCTTGATTTTGTCAAGGATATTGCCAAGAATAAATTGTGGGGATGAGATACTAAGTAGGTCACTAGGATTGAATGCCAGGCTTAGATCAATATTTAGGGATGAGCAATAATAGGCTGATTGGATTTGTGGGATAAATGTAATGGGAAAGTTAATCTTTTTGGAATGGATGGCTTACACTTAAACAAGGCAGTTGGCATTAACTCAGCTGTAGTGGTAGATTTAAACTAGGGCTAGACAGAGGTGAGGGCTATGATAATAGTAAAATAGTAAATATAATTGACAGGAAAACATCTACAACAGGCATAAAACATGAATGTATTTTTAAATCTCTGATTAATCATTACTATTGTAATGCTAGGAATATTAGAAATAAAATTGATGAATTCAAAGCAGTTGTGGAAACTGAGGATTTTGATATTATGGGTGTCACTGAGACTTGGTTGGATTTGAACAATTTTGATGAGAGAATTTTTTATTGATATACCGGGCTAGAGATAGAGTACTGAAAAAAGGGGGAGGAGTAACTTTATATCTGAGGAGTGAGTTGCATCCTGTTGAGTTAGTACATATTATAGAAAATAGCACTGAGGTTGAGTCAGTTTGGATTAATCTTAATGGATCTAAAGGGAAAAGTCTTGTAATTGGAATTTGTTATAAATCACCAGGCTAGAATGTGGAAGTTAATGAGAAACTGTGTAATGAGATCAGAATGGTAGTTGAAAAAGATGTTGTTATTATGAGAGATTTTAATTTCAGGGGTATTGATTGAGAAAACTTCTGACAGTGAGGTTTTTGGAAATTGTTCCGGATACTTTTATACACCAACTGGTGATGGAACCTACAAGAGAGGAAGCTATGTTAGATTTAATATTAGCATCCAATGTGAATATGAGACAATATGTAGAATTGAAAAAGAATAGTACCCTGACTCCAGATTTCAGGAAAGTTAATTTTGATGGAATGAAACATGATCTTGCTTCTGTAGATTGAACTAAAGAGTTGGGATGGGGATCTTGAACAGATGTGGGAAACATTTAGGGAAAAATTCATATGCATACACCACATGCATATTACTTACAGAAAGGGCAATGAAGTGGAATAAACTTTTATTGTTTTAGTAAAGGATTAAGAGATCACATTTGGGATAAACATAATAAATTCAAGAAATTTAAACTTACTGGAAATAATAAGGACTTTGAGGACTATAGGAAATCAAGAGAGTTGGTTAAAAAGGAATTTAAAAGGGCAAAAACTGTATATGAAAGAGGGTTGGCTAAGAAAGTTAAATCAAACAATAAGAAATTCTTTAGGTATATGATGAGTAAGCAAAATGTTAGGATAGGGACTGGGCCTCTTAAAAATGATAGTGGGGAGCTGATCTCAGAAGATTATGAAATAGTAAACTTGTTAAATTATATGTTCTCTTCAGTTTTTTATGAAGGAAGATACAAGTATTGTACCTCAACCAGAGCACTTAATGTATGAGAAAAATATTGATGTAATACAAAAATATTTTAAGTTCTGAAATTGTATGAGAAAAGTTGGGACCAGACAATTTTTATCCTAGAGTTTTAAAATAATTTTTAATGCAAATAACATGGGTTTCTTAATGTCATAACTAGACACTATTTAGGAAGTTTTAACCAAGTTTTGTGCACTTTGGTTAAGTAGTTTCAATGTGAGATTTTAAAAGACCAGCACTCTCTCACCTCATATGTAGTTAAGAACCATAGTATTTATGAGGAAATAGTAAAAAAGGCATTTGCCTATTAAACTCTAAGACATTCTTAAATTTATTTAAATTTTTATATAATTATAAGATTATTTGTTTTCGAGACATTTATAAATTCTGCTGCAAACCCAAATAAATGTGATGCATTAAACTATTGAATGATCATTTTATTATATCATTAACATGATATAATTTTTTTTAATATATATAAAGTGATTAATACTACTATGAGGCCTGGTTAAAACATTGGCACATCTACCATTCTATTCAACAGCTGAATTATATGTATAACTGTTAAATTTACATTCTGATAAGGTACTTTCCCTTCACTCACAAGATTAGATTTTCTTGTTTTGTGCTACCCTCTGTATGCAAACTTTTTCAGAAACGCATACCACAAGCCTTCATCATCTCAAAGTTCCAACACGTCTCTTGTGCAAATCATCATGCATCACCTCTCCACCAATAGGAGAAAACTACTATCACGTGACGCATGTGACTCCCTTTACATGCCACTGCCGAACTATCACTTTGACGTTTGGCAGAAAATGCAAGCACTATAAGATTATGGGGAGAATGGGTGGGAAGTGTGAGTGGAGGGAAGTATATCTGTCAGAGGTGGTTCAGGACCTTATCGCACAACAGGCTATCGAACCAGCTCCATTAGGTTCACGGGGGTTTTAGTCTCACCTGTTTATGGTTCTCAAGTGGACTGGGGACTGGCGTCTTGTCTTCGATTTATCCCGTCTCAATCTGTATGTTCACACTCCTCACTTTACCATGGAGATATACCTTTCTCTTCGGTGGGCATTTTCTTCACATCCTGTGGTGGAGCAATCCTATCCATATCTTCGGTTTGTCCATCGGGGGGGTGGGGGAAAGGTACCAGTTTTATGTCTTACCTGTCACACTCACCAGGTCTTGGCC